GTTTGTGTTTGTTTGTGTTTGTGTTGGGAGGGGAGGGTAAGGCGGTATATTTCTGGAGAAAACTCACTGTTGTGCTGACAATCGACCCTTGAAGAACGCAGTAATACTATGGGAAGAACAAGGTTAGCGGACTAGACATGATTCCAGTCGAACCACATACCGTCATCCACCAAGCTCTTCTTCGAGCTTCCGCGAATTCATCGTACTCTTCTCCCAAAGAATGCAGAGACATGTCTAGCGCGATCGCCAATGCCTGGCCCGCACGATATCGCATCTTAAGCAGGTTTCCCCGCTGCGTGTATTCGTACACGGAGAGAACCAAGAGCGCAAGAATAGATTCGAGTTCCACGGGTGTATGGGGATGGAAGTTCTCTCTATTGATAAGAGGGCGTTCGCTTGAAAGCGCCTGTGCAGGGTCGGTAGAAGAGGCATGGAGCTCACAATCTGTTTCGATGCTGGAGTTGGCCAATTGGGAGAACGTATGTGCATATGTCCTACGCCGGATAACAGAGGCAGGAGACGAAGGCTCCAAGTCACTTGGATGGGGGATGAGGGCCAATACTGCCGACAAAGCAAGGCTAAGAGGGGACCGTGGTCTGTACAATAGAAGAGGTTCTTCTGTCGGGGATTCGGAATATGAACCAACCGCATCTAGTGGTCTGTCTGGAGAGGCCGGAGCTGCCCTGGGCGGAAGAATCGGGAAATAATGATGAATAAAGTCGTAGTAGGCGTTGAGTCTGCCTGGGAGATTAGAAGGGACCAGCAGTCTGGTTGGGGCAATGCAAAACCCACATGTCGTGTTCAGAGCCGTATGTCCTTACCAATGACTGAGTTGATATGTTGGACGGCGACGGCGTTGGCTCCATTTGTGCAGGTGGATGACCAGCCTCATGGGGGATAAAGAGGTCAGCGAACATTGATTGAACATCCGACGGGAAATCCAAGCTTCTCAGCCCGGCTCCTGGTACCGACAGCCCATCGATTTGGCCAAACATGCCCGTCGCTGTACCACAGTGAGTATAGGTTGCTCTTAATTCTAGGATTTACGCATCATCACGTACATTCATCGAATCCGGGCGCTGCCGGGTGAGTGATTGAACTGGGAGCATCATCCGGTGGAACAATTCCTTCTGGGGAGATGGATGCCCTTTTCTTCTTCCTTGGACCGCCTCGTTTACTAGGCAGATAGGAACATTTCCTTCTTTTGCCAAGACACTTTTCATGGAAGTAATTGTCTCAGTAAACGCCTTTATGATGTACTTTGCGGGGATGGTGTATGGTAGAGTGGAGAACATATTGAGACACGGGGAACAGACGCCATTCAATAGAAGAAGGAAAAGATATAAAACAGAAGCAGAAAAGAAACGAGAGCGAAAAAGGGGAAAGAAAACGAAAAAGAATGAAAAGTGAAAACAGGCAAAGTCAAGACGAGGGAAGATAAGAAGAAACACGAGGGTAACTAGAGATGATGAGACATAGAAGACCTACATTGGAACAAGGAACTTGTCCATCGCAGCGTGTCCTTGAAGCACGACTGTTGGAGGAGTATGCGTCAGCCCAGGTCCGATATAACAGGGGACAGGGCACCTAGTAGTAAGACAGGGACTTTGTCTCACACGGTGCATGGTCGTAGTCCAGATCCCAAAAACCGGGCGTTGACCTCCGGGGTAATGACCAGAATCATAAAGCAAAGGAATAACGTACCAGGCTAGACATGCTACTTTGACTGGTGGCTTCGCAAATTTCTTTCGCACCACAGTGGGCCTTGCGACCTTGGACTGTGTAACTGTGGTGGTTCCGTTGTCATGAAATTTCTGGAAATTCTCCAGAACCATGGCGATTGCTTGGGCAATGGAGGAGTATAATATAGTAGGGGTCGTAGTCTAAAAACGAACCGGCTTTGCCAATGTTCAGTTGTGTTATGCAGCCGCAACGATCGATACACAGGGGACTTCAAGACTTTCACCGCGAGTGTTCCCGACATTGACGACTAGTAGATACTCGGACTGCGCATCATTACTAGGGAAGCATACGGCCACGGGAATCCCTAAGAAAGTGTTTATTTCGATACCCGAAGAGGTGGTCTGATATACGCCGTACAGCGTCGAGAACTGGGGTGTAGTACTGGGGCTTAATCATCCATAGCCAACGATTCAAATCCCGATCGCTCACGCTTCGGGATTTGCTTTGCCCCCAAGAAAGCGTAAATGTGGCGGACGATTCGCGATTAGTCAAAAAGCATGTTCCTCAGGTTCCCCTGAATGGAGCTTCCTCGAATGGGGTTGATCAAAAAATGCGATGCATGGATCCAAATCTATAAAGTTGAGATATGACAACCAGGGAGAAAAAAAAAGCATTTTGTATCTGCTCTCGTTTGCTTTTGCTTCAAGGTTCTCTGCTGAAGTCTCTCGATCGGGTTAGCTTCCACTCATTTTGCTTTCTTTGTCGGCGTTAAACCGCTTTCGGACGAGGTTGACCAAGCCATGGCCTGATTCTACATGTCACGTGATAACATACATTGTCATATCGATACGGAGTACAGCGGTTACATTACTGACTGACACACCAGGAACCCATTCGTCTACATACCGGTGGCTTGCCACGTTTACGCAGGAAGTCGATCCCGATTATTCCCTCATTCATCATCTCTGCGAATGACCAATCCAACATCTCCCAGAACAAGAACGACTTGGTTCGATAACAGGGGTGAGCGCATGCAGGGCCAAAAGTGACCCAGGGAGATCGATAGATCGATTTGATAACAAGGCGCCAGAATGGTTAGCTTGGAGATCTCGGGGCAAAGGAGGGCTAATCGATCGACACACATCTTAGGTGAACTCTAATTGAATGAAGGGCCGAGCCAACTTAAGGTAGGTACTCTGTACACAACACGCCATTCCCGGATGCATTCCGGCCCAGAATCAAGATATCCGGGCGGGAACCTTTGTCGACTCCCGCCCGTACGCAAGGATACGCCTGGAGCCCGACTATCCCCGAGTATTCGCCGTGATTGTTACGCACATTCTGGTCAGCTGAAGATACCTATCAAATCCATCCAAAGGCGGGTCACGTTAATACTACCCTACAGGCAACTAGTAATGTCCGATCCAACTAGTGCGATTTAGGTTCTTACTCTAGCTAGTAGGTAGTCCTGTTCTCGAAATAGAATTACTGTCCTCCATATCTGGATCATCCTTACGAATGATATGGAATGGAGCCCACTGCCACGTCAGGAATGGAAGTCAATGTCGCGTAAACTAATCCCAGGCACACGCTTCACGCTGCCCCAGACACTGTCCGGTACTTTCACAGGCAGTTTGTGTCCCTTTAGTTGCTGATCAATCAACCACATCCCAACAACAAACTCCTCTCTTGTTAGGAGTCCAATCTTTTGTGTATCAACTAGATCCCAGATCTGCTCCAGCACGAAGGATGGGAGGCGACTCCGAGACCAGATGTCTCGAACCACGATGTTCACTACCATCTCCGAGGCATTCGAAGGCCATGTGTCTCGCAATGGATCATGTTCGGAGCATTGCCTGTCCACTTCTTCTTTTGTGGGGATGAGAAGCCCCTTATTAGCCGCCCATACACCCTCGTAGCGTTTTCGCTCCTTTTCCGTAACCTCACTCCGCCATCTCTTTCGATCGCCTTCGTGATGCTTATGTGGGTGTTTCCGTATAATATGCGTTCTGTGCCGGTGGTGACTATCATCTTCATCGTCAGGTTTAGCCGGGTTGCGGAGCGTGTGTCGCAAAGGGCTGGATGGGCTTCGAGATTGGGAAAGCTCTCTCCCATTGCTGTGAAGACGTAATATTGAACGAGACCTTGCTTGACGTTGTGGAGGGGGAGGTGGCGGGCCATTCTTGGTAGGTGGTGCTCGGGAGGATGCCAATGATGATGCGACGATTGCATCTGAAAGGGCGCCTTCACTCAAACTACCCGAATCATCAAGCAGACTCGGAGTGCTACTATTACGTTGTCGATCTACGACCGACGAAGCACTCGGGCTTAATGGCCGTCTTGGGATATCATTCTTCGCCAGAAGGGCTCGATGATTATTTAGACCACCGTTAAGCGCAGTTGATCCGCCAGGCCGCGGAGGCAATGCAGGACCTTTCTCATCTGATATGGTAGATAAATCCTTGGGGGTGCCGAAGGAGCAAGAGCTTAGTGGATCGAGGGAGCCCTTAGGTTCGTTGGGCTGGCCCCTTCTGGTGGCAGGTTCAGCTGACCCTGGGCTGCCTGTGACTAGTCGAGATTTTCGAGGTGCTGGGGGTATTGGACGTGGCTTTACCACTGCCTGTTGCGTAGAGTCTAGAGGTGTATTAGGTGTTTGTATGATCGGCTTTCGACGAATAGATAAATCTCGAGTCGGCTTAGCTTCGTCACCCTTTGAGTGTCGCTCGATCGTATTATTATTCGTTGCGACGCTCTCGACTGAGCTTGGACTGGATGCTTTCACATCTTGTACATTCTTTTCGTTCTTTGGCTGGGGTTCATTTGTGCCTCGCGCCACACCGCTATCAGTAGTTGTTGCTGCATTTTTCCTATGTACAGGGAGATGTTCCGCAGCAAACCGGGCGGCGATCTGCTGCGGGGACTCCGGTCTAAATGTTGCTGGGCTCCTGCGAACGCTCTCGAGAGCATTCTGAGAATGGGCAGTATACCTCCCAATCTTGTCCTTTACGGAACCAACTTCGGGTGGCACTTCGGTTTCAATATCGGGACGGGGACCCGGACCGAGAGCACGTTTGTTGACATCAGCGGTTTCTCCCGTTCTGTGGGCGACTGCAGGCGAACTGCTTCTAGAAGCGCTTGTGCGAAAGGCAGTAGTGGCACCTTGCAAAGCCGTCACGGCATTATGGGCATGGCCGGGAGATAAATGGGGAGCTACCCGCTGGTTCAGAGCGGGTGTTGAATTCGCCATTCATGGGACCCGTTTGAGGTCACTGAAATATCAAGGGAAGGTGTGCAATGCTATACGTTTCATACAGACACTAAGAGATCCCAAAAAGGCATGTTTGATCCACTCATGCATATAAGAACCAGGAGAGAACTGATGTTTGTACCTGCGGCAACAAATTAGAGACAACAACTTGAGCTGTGCTAAGAGGTCATCTGCAGAGCTAGTCTGGATCAGGTAATCAGCTAACCTCCTACGGAAATAGTCGTTCTGGACTCGGACTCGGGACTCGGGAGCCCTGAGGCGCATTTCACTCTTTTGTATGATAGTCAAGCAATACTAGTAACCATATATTAACCGACCAGCTCATAGCATACGTCCTACTTGGCAAAGCAAGTCCACGCACTCTGTGACTGTTAATTGTTCGGAATCAGGTTATACTCGAGCAATTTATACTTAACCAATCTGTCTTCTTTTCCCTTAATATATTGTTCTTGGAATTAACCTTACTTTCTCATCCCCCTTTCTCTCCATTTTCCCACATTTAACCGAAAGGTAAGACAGCCGGTAGTGCGGGGAATTTCAACCAATGTTCATTGTCCAATCACGGGGTCCCCGCTCTCACTCTTTAGTACAGGATGTAAGTTAAGTATTCTAGAGAAACGTTCAATTGACCCAAATATTCTTCCCCGCTTCTAACCCTTCCAGGTTGCCCTGCGACGTAACCTCCAGCCCCGAGTTGGAACTAGTGGTTCGGTCCACTGCCTCGAAAGATTGTTGCTTGAAGAACTTTCATCATCTACCTGCAGGGTTCGAATACCTCAAGCCGGCCGATTATAGTGATGAAATGCAAGCATCGCAGGGTCTTTCGTGATGCACCTCTCGCCACGTCTATCATACGGCGATCTGTTTTTCTATCCAAGGTGCCATGCCCAATTCACAAGTACTATCTGCCTTAAGGAACAATCGTCCGTGAGACGCCATGTCCCCGGAGAACAGCGACGCTGGCCCAGGTATGAATTCGGCTACATCCTCCTTCCTTCAAGGATTTCCTGAAGTTGCCTTGTGAAAGACCCAAGAGGACCTACAGAATAAGTAACCAGACACGTGGTAGCAGTTGCAGACCGCCATGAGGCCGAAGAAGCGACATTGAGTGATAGGAACAATTACGACCATGAAATACAACCCATTTCTACAGGCTCCAGTCAAACTATATGTTCTATCTGTCACAGCACCTTCAGGCGACCGGAGCATTTAAAGCGTCATTTTCGCAGTCATACTAAAGAAAAGCCCTTTGAGTGTACACAGTGCGGCCGGCATTTCTCGAGAACGTACGTTTTCTCTCATGCCCAATAAACAGAGAACGATTCGGTATATCGCAGATAAGTTGCAGCTGACACTGGCCAGTGACACACTCCACCGTCACGAGTTGAGTCACCATACCTTAGGACCAGAAGGTGGGAAGGACCGCACACATCGAATTACGGTAAAGACGTTTCGGGCTTGCTTCAAATGCGCCGTAGCAAGAGTGCGATGTAGCGGAGGAACACCATGCATCCGTTGCGACAATCGATCACTCGAATGTCAATATCCAACCGAGCGACGATCCAAAGCAAAAGCGCGGAAACAGTCATCCCGGAATCAGGACTCTATGGACGGCTCGCCCCAGGAGCAGGTTTCTCGTCATGCCCGCTCTCCTTCTGCGGCAAATCCAGACATCCCTTTCGCGCAGGACAGAGGAAAGCCATCTGCTCAGATTCCCGGCTACCAACTTGGTCAATTTCAGATCCAGCTGTCTGGGCAAAGCGCTTCCAAGACCACATCCAGTTCTCAGGAACACCCCAGTGAACATCTTAATGGCCTTCAAGATAGCCGACGAGCTTCTGAACCGGAGAATCTGCATTTGTCTAATAGTAATGGGGTGATAGATGTCTCACGATTTCCTTTTGATACATACGCGGGAGTAAACCTTCAACAGCTGTATCCGCAGATGCCCACGTCGGACGTCAGGGCAACACTCTCAGGTGCCCAAGGGGCTCGATTAAACCACCAGTTTCAACCCGAGATACCAGGTTCTAATACCAATATGGGTGTGATGGTTGCACATAACCAACAGCTACAGTTGGGGTTTGCACAACCCTACTTGGATCCCGCAATGGCCTCAACGATCAACTGGCTTTCGAACGATTTGTTACTTGATACGACCGGTGATCGCCCTACTGGAAACCGTCTGCCCCCGCATTCTTCGCAAGGAGGGGCTGTCGACAGCTCCCTGGGTCAGGCATCATGGCTTCCCCCAGTTATTAGTGCGGAACAAACTAGTCCATCTTTACCAGAGCATGTTTATCAGACACCTTCTGGAAACACTTCGCTAGGTACTGATGTCGACAGCCCCAGACCCTTTCCCCGCGATGCTGTTCAATCATCGACGCCCCAGCCAAGGCCTTGCAACGCCTCCCAACGGTCAGCAGATTCGTACATAGACGGGGGTGGCGCTCGGCTTCCAAAATACAGGCGGAAGCAGGATCCTGGACTAAGACCTGCAAGTCTAATCGATATTCGGTCTCAGTTACATCAAGCAGGCGACCCGTCTAAATTCTCGTTCCCTACCATCCAGGGACTCAGGGAGGAAACTTTATCTGAGGAAGTAGCCTCCAATTTTCAACTCGAACCTGCAATGTACGACAACATTTACGAGGTCTTTATCCAGCTGTGTTGCACCGAAAATTTTCTTTATCCTAAGTTTGAAAACAAGGACTTTCCCCCTCGAGAAGCCCTGTCGCAGTTCGTCGGACTTTACTTTGACTCTTTCCAGACAGTATACCCAATCTTACATGGCCCTACTTTCAATCCGAATGCATGCCACTGGCTATTGACAATGGCTGTTTCAGCAATAGGCAGCTATGCTGCTGGCATTGATGAACAAGATAATTGTTCTGCAGCATTTCACGAGTTTATCCGGCGAGCTATACATATTGAGGTATGAGCCTGCTAGAATATCTAAGTGAGGGCATTCACTGACTGCTATTAAAGAAGGAGAAGTGCCGCCCAGGACAAACACCTCTTTGGCTTATGCAGACAATAATGCTAAATTGTGTCGGATTGCTTCACGGAAGCAATGAGCACAGTAGAGATTTCGCGTTGGATAGTATCGGTGAGCTAGTTAATCTTTCGACGCGTGAGGAGTTGTTACGTGCTTCTACCCAGTCAAGGCTTTCAACAATGGACACTTCGCAGGGTGCTTGTTGGGCGACATGGATTGAGGACGAAACAAGAAAAAGAACAGGCTACTTTATATGGGTAAGATATAAACGTAGTAGCTTGAGCGAACGCATAGTTGACAAAGATAATAGCTTTTGGACTGTATGCTTGCATACCACTTTGAAAGTCGGTTATTGCTCTCCCTTGATGACGGTCAAGCTCCACTACCATCAGACGAGAACCTCTGGCGAGCAAGCTCCGCTGATGCCTGGAAACGACTTTACGACAAGACTACTGGTATCTCTCCTGACTCTTTTCATGCGTTAACCTGTCTAACCTGCACCCCTTAGGCCGAGAGGAGGTTTCTCTCTACAACGCCGTGCTCACGTTGTATATCGAGAAGAGGCTTGTTGCTAATATAGGAGAATTCGGTCACATCTTGTTAGTCCATGCGCTTTACCATCGGATGTGGGAGGTGGGTGATTATTTTCGCCGTCCTTTGTCGTTCTGGAATCCAACTGCCAAGAAGCAGTCAAGGGAGGCTGCGATTCCCTCGGGATCTGTTTGGCTACCAGGTATTCCTTCGTATTCGAGGTGGCGTAATAGCGCATGCGATTGCCTGGATATTCTCCATTGGGCAGCAAATAGCACGATAGCTAAGGCATCTGGGCTCGAGCACCCGACCGTCCTACACCTTCACGAAGCCCGGATTATATTGCTCGTACCATTTCATGAGATTAAGACCTTGGTAACCTCTCTAGCAACAGAAAAGGTTCGATGGAGCGCGCGTCAGCAGACCATTGAGTGGCATTATATACTTCGTTGGATCAAACATGATCAGTATAAGGCTCGGCTCGCAGTTATACACGCAGGCGCATCTTTGTGGCATGTGCGAAGATATTCGACCAATGCATTTCATGAGCCAGTAGCTGTATTTCTTGCAATAATTACACTATGGGCTTATGGCATGTGTCATTCGCAGGTTTTTCCAGATGTTAGGTCCCGTGGTGGGACAGATGAGAACCTACCCAGCGAGCCCACGTTCTTCCATATTGACCGTCCTTGTGACGACGAGCTGGTCCAGATCTTTGTTCGAGGAGGGCAAGGGATGAAGGGTAATGTGACTGGTGTGGGAGATATATGTGCTCCCGAAGGTCCTAAACGGATTCTTCAGGTTGGCTGCGAGACACTTACTGGTCTTAATTCGTGGGGAATATCTAAGAGATTTATTGCAATCCTGACAAGGCTCGGAGACTTGATGTCATGCGACAAATAGCCTTGATGTAGGTACAGCTACAGTTGCTTTCCTTCTTTTCTTCTCTTGTTTAGCAACCCTTTTTTTCTTTTGGTTATCCTAGAGCTCAACCTTATCATAACCTAGATTATTTTTTTTTAAAAGAGGAATAGATTTGACAATTATGAACAACCAATGGGAATATAGATATGAATCTAGAAACCTTATCCCAAGGCGGTGGGTGGTGCGCAATGCCAATATGATGTCACATGTTTTGAAGTCAATCCGCTTACGATCTTATCGTTGCCTATTGCAGCCTAGACCCCAACGGAGTTAAACATGCAGATATAAACTGTTCCATGCACTCCATGCTCGAAACCAGGTTCATTCCCTAGATCTACGAACTAGTGCTTCTAATGAGACATGGATTCTGACGGCGATTATAATGAGCCTGCCAATACCGATCCTCGCATTGAAGATGAGGCGTCTGACCTAGATGAAAAGTAATACGGCCAACTCTCACTTCCCTTCGCTGAACATTGCACCATTTACTAATCGACTGGGCGCCAGATATCCCAACCGCCCACGAAATCATTCCGCTACTTTGCCGTTTCATGTTTTGTTCCAGACACTTTTCTATCCGTTGAGTGAGATCAAAAAGAAGCCAGCTGGACCTGCGCGCAAGAAGGTCGGCCCTCATGGACTGTCTAGCACTAATCTGACGCCATTGGAAAAAAGGCGAGACGTTATCGACCGCTTCATCTCAAGATGGAGGAAGGAGGTCGGGGACGACATATACCCCGCGTTTCGATTGATTCTTCCCGACAAAGATCGGGATCGGGCAATGTACGGATTGAAGGAGAAAGCTATCGGGAAGCTCCTAATCAGGATAATGAAAATCGATAAGAATTCGGAGGATGCCCTTAATCTCTTAAATTGGAAATTACCGGGACAGGCGACTACGTCTAGCATGGCTGGTGATTTCGCAGGCCGATGCTACGGTGTACTCTCGAAGCGACCAATGCGCACGGAAGTGGGTGATATGACCATCGAGGAAGTGAATGAGAAACTCGATCAGCTATCCGCGGCATCTAAGGAAGAGCAACAGTTGCCGATATTGACAGAGTTCTACCGACTAATGAACCCGGAAGAGCTCATGTGGCTTATTCGCATCATCCTACGACAGATGAAGGTTGGTGCAACGGAGCGCACCTTCTTTGATGTGTTGCACCCAGACGCGGAGAATCTGTACAGCATTTCAAGTAGTCTTCGGCGCGTCTGTTGGGAGTTGCATGATCCTAATATCCGGCTTGATGCTGAAGAAAGGGGAATCACGTTGATGCAGTGTTTCCAACCACAGTTGGCTCAATTTCAGATGCAATCACTGGATCGGATGATTAGTCGGATGAGGCTGACAGAAGATGATCCGGTTTTCTGGATTGAGGAGAAACTTGACGGGGAGCGCATGCAGCTTCATATGGAATCAAACGACTCTGTACCAGGGGGAAGAACGTTTCGCTTCTGGTCAAGAAAAGCCAAGGACTACACATATCTCTACGGAAATGGCATCCAGGATGAGAATGGTGCTTTGACAAGATATCTCAACGATGCGTTTGCAGATGGCGTGGAAAGCTTGATTCTTGACGGCGAAATGATTACTTGGGATACTGAGCAAGATGCCATTGCCCCTTTTGGCACGCTTAAGACGGCTGCCTTATCCGAACAGAGAAACCCGTACTCGAGCACTAGCCGGCCCTTGTTCCGTATCTTTGACATACTGTACTTGAACGGACACGATATCACAAGGTACACTCTTCGTGACCGCCGGAACGCATTGCAGAAAAGTATCAAGCCAATTCATCGCAGGTTTGAAATCCACCCTTACGAAGAAGCTACGAGCAAAACTGAAGTAGAGGAAGCACTGAGAAGAGTCGTAGAAGAGGCTTCCGAGGGCTTGGTGCTTAAGAATCCCAGGTCACCCTATCGCTTGAATGAAAGACACGATGACTGGATGAAGGTAAAACCGGAATATATGACTGAGTTCGGAGAGTCATTGGATGTAGTCGTGATCGGAGGCTACTATGGATCTGGTCATCGGGGTGGTGGCCTTTCAAGTTTCTTATGTGGGTTAAGGGTCGATGATGCCCATTCCTCACAAGGAGGGGTGGCATCTAAGTGTTATTCTTTCTGCAAGGTAGGGGGAGGCCTTACTGCAGCTGATTATGCAAACATTCGGCATCACACGGACGGCAAATGGCACGAATGGAAAGCCAAGAAGCCTCCCACAACATACATTGAATTGGCAGGCGGAGATGCGCAGTACGAGCGCCCAGACATGTGGATAAAGCCCGAAGACTCGGTGGTACTCTGCGTTAAGGCAGCTTCAGTGGCTGTCAGTGACCAGTTTCGTATCGGACTGACGCTACGTTTTCCACGCTTCAAAAAGCTGCGTATGGACAAAGATTGGAAAAGCGCTCTCTCAGTGCAAGAGTTCCTTGACCTCAAAGCCAACGCAGAACAAGAGCGCAAAGAGAAAGAATTCAATGTGGATAATTCACGCAAGAAACGGGCGAAGAGGGATAACAAAAAGCCTCTAGCTATTGCAGGGTATGATGCGGAAGCAGAAGCTCAGTACGCCGGCCCATCCGGGCATATCTTCGAAGGGCTAAATTTCTGTACGTTGCAAGACCGGGCGTCCAAGCACAAACTGACCAAGTCACAGACATCACAACCGACTCAACCGCACCGGTCAAAAAGTCAAAGGCGGAGTTAGAACAGCTCGTCAAAGCTAATGGGGGCAAGTTCTTTCAGACGAGTAATGCTGCTCCTAGCACAATTTGTATCGCGGACAGAAGTATGTGCGCCTCGGAAGACTCCTCGAGCCATTGACATTGACTGATATGTTATGCAGGGACTGTAAAAGCCGCGTCTCTTCAAAAAAGCGGCAATGTCAATATTATCCGGCCATCCTGGATTCTTGATTGTATCAAGCAGAGTGAAATTGATGCGGGTTTGCCCGGTTCAGTTCTTCCTCTAGAACCCAGGTACGTTGATTCGGTCTGGAACAGGGTTCCTGACCCACTAACTCGCATCCAGGCACGCCTTCTTCGCGACAGCAGACAAAAAAGAGGAGATTGCAGTGAGCGTTGATCGGTTTAATGATAGTTATGCGCGCAACACCACCAATGACGAGCTCAAGGAGGCAAGCATTCCCGCTCAGAAGATAATACTATAACTTGCTGACTGTTGTCAAGGTCTTGAGGCAGATGAGCAAGGATCATCATTTTGATGTTTCTCAGCATCCCGAAATCTCCCGAAAACTCAACGAGCGTATTCAGGAGAGAGTCAATGCCGGATGGGAGATGCCTTCCGGATGGCTGTTCAAGGGTTTGACCATTCTCTTTCCCCAGAATGACAAAGTGGACGATGCAGAAGTAGACGAGGCGCCACCAACCCATCAGCAATACCGTCTTCATTTGGCACGCAACACTGCGCGATTTGCAGGAGCGAGTGTTGTGGATTCGAAATCTTCGTTGGTTACTCACATCGTCATAGCTCCGGATAGCCCAAATTCAGATGTCTCTTCGATCCGCAAATCATACTCGGCGAGACCGGGGAAGAAGGTGCCACACCTCGTCACTCCCGAATGGATAGAGGAGTGCTGGAAGCAGCGGACGCTGTTGGACGAAGAGGGTATGTTGAAGCCTGATCATGGTACACTAGGACTCCTCCATTCTGATAATTTCCTATAGGGTTCCAGCCTCCCAGAGGTACCTAAACGGGCAACTCGCATAATCCACACCCTCACTAAGAATCTACTCAGTCGTTGGGCATTTCCCAAGGGCTTAAATCAAATTCAAATGTGCAGATCGGTGCTGCTGCTGCTGATGATGACGATGATGGTGCGCAACATTCCTTCCCAATTGTACATACATACATACATACCCTCAGTTTTGCGTAATGACTTACCCAATCCTACTTTCCCGGCTATTTGGTTATCTGCAACACTGCCCAAACACGGAACACAGCGGGAGTTTGCTCCAGAGCATCGGTGTAAGGTTAAGCCCAACCAGAGAATCCATCCTCTACCATTGGACAGAGATAAGGCCTACAGGGGAGAGCGAGACATGGTCACACTACAAACAGAGAAATAAGATGAGTCCATGGATAACGAGGACCTGGCTGAGTATTACAGCCTGAATGAATACCATACAGTACTGAATACCTCGAGGGCTTCAGTGACCGTAAACAAAACAAGACCCCTTTCTGTATTGGGTTTAGCTCATGTCTTAGTTTTAGATAGTTCAATATCTAACCCTAATGCAACCCAGACTTATTACAACACTACATATTAAATCCTCCCAACTCCCAACTCTCGACCGAGAGAGGACCTCATAGGAACCGCGATTATTCGTCTTCTAACAGCCAAACTAGTATCTCGTGTCAGCTTCCATGAAAAGTTGGTAGCGAATAGTCTCGTCGTTCTATAACGTGAAACTCTGGTGCTTTTGCTCGGCCTGGTCAACATCATCTCTATAATATCATGACCTACCCCTTCCCTAAAAGTAAGAACTATAGGTGTGCTAGTCGATAGCCAGTTAGCCATCCACATACCTGGTCGTATATCTGAGGAACAATGTAGACTGAAAATGAAAATTGAACAAGAGGGGCTCATTTGCATTTCGTCCTGTCTAGGGACAGAGAATATGACTGTTTTTGTCAGATGATTTTTTCCCCTCCCGTCCTTACTCTATACATAGAAAAACGTTCTTCTCACAATAGCCTCCTATGTTTCTAAGGAGGCTCAAGCTGCAGATGGGACACAAGCCGACGGCAATTTCCACCATGGAGAATGATAATATATATCAACTCATCGTAAGTCTTAGATGGCCTTGAAATACCGGCGAATGGATATGTGTGTCAATGGAAAGACAGCAAAAATTTACTCACACAGCTAGCAAGTATGGAGAAAGACCTTCTGATACTACCGTCGTCATGCTTTTCGAATGCTACAGATGAGTGTCAAGCTAAATTGATCTAGGAAATGGTATCGCTGACTAGATTAGAGAACAATAGTTAGCACAATCAGAGTCAGTATGAAGGATGCCTACCTTAACCATCATATTCACTGCTAACTGGCATTCTGTTGCTGAACTCGCTCAAGAGAAGTATGGAGTCTGTAAGTCTGTTCTCCTTTTGGCTTTTTATTTGATGAAAGTGTCCTCTCTATCAATATCAATGCCGGGTTGACCCGCATTCAGCCCTAATCCGTTCCAATAGGTATCAGGCCGGACAAGCATTGAGAGGACTGGTAAGCCCCCTATCCCCGAATCATTCGGCAGGCGAAGGCCCACCGTAAACGCTGGACTCGCATTTAGACCAGTTTATGCGGTCTGCATCGCCTCCGTAGCGAGCTGGTAAGTCTGGTACACATATCTCGCCAAGAATGCTGTCGATAGTAGTGATCCAGCGAGCGGAAGGGATTCTGAGGCCGGGCGCTGTCCAAGAACAGAAATACGTCAGACAAAGAAAGACTCAAACAAACTTACTTCTGATAGAGATTACACACTTGATGGAGCTGTGGGTAATCTTGTCCGAAAAGTATGTACTCAGAAGCAGAAGAATGTGTATAGACCGTCGGTCCAGCCTAGCATTGATAGATTCGCATTATCCAGTGCGTTAGTAGTTAGCGACTAACATGAGAATATGCGCATAGTTCACTAGTTTGCAGCCTATACAGCATAGCCAGTCAAGTTAGTGGTGGGTAACACGGACGGAATGGGACCTGTTTCAGTAGTCTTCACCTTGAATATGAGGGGGCGGGAATGTAAAAATTGATCATGCAGACGCAGGTACAGCGATCGGCATGTTCTACACCTCCCGGTGGGTCTCAAGGGGATTGATATCATGATATACTCATCAGAGCTGTCTCTATCGCAGCTCAATGACCTCCTTCTCTAGCCTTTTTGAATGAAATAAGTACGCAGAATCTCCTGCCAGTCTTATAGACAGGCAATCTCAAGCGGAAGATATTTTCCGTGTGTTTTTCACCAGGGTTTTTCCCCTTCACCTCTGAGTATGTGGTTTTGTAGTAGAAGAGGAAGCGAGATATTCTCAGATTTCTCATCGCTCACACTCCTGTCTAGGGACAGAAACTCGAGGGAGCATCAAGACAGTGTTCGATCATGCTTCTATGAAGATTCCTCAACAGCTATCAAGCTGTATTGGTCAGAATCATGCTTTTCAATGCCATTTTGATCGAATGACCACAAGATCCCCATGATCCCAGAACAGTTATATGAGTCCGTCGGTAGGGTAATTTCGGCATAACTATCTGTATACCAATTATCGAGGGCTATTCTAAGCCTTTCCCAGCTCTGCTCCTAATCAACCATAACGAGGGCGGCTTGTCATAGTTGCAAGGGAAGTTGAATAGCCAAATCGAAATTGTAGTGTGGATTCAGTAGTATGTCCAACTTCCATACAAAGAAGCTTGACAGGTGATCCAAAGCTTTACCCGATATGGAAGCAATGGTCCACGTGGCTTGATACCTGCTATATCAAAATATGTATCTATGCAAGATAAATGCAGGCAACGTCATCATGGGTTGCAATGGACTACAAATGAGGCCTTCCTCATCGTCCTACTAGACAGGGTTTTAGGCAGATTGAAGAATCAATATTGAAGTCCTTTCTGAAAGACACGATCTTAAACTGTTTCAGAGCTAACATGCTATTCCAGAAGATGAAACTTACTTTAAGACACACTCTTATGATCTTCAAATAACAGGTTCGAATGAGTACAGTATTAGAATACTGAGAAGCGTACGATTTGCTTCGAGTTTAGCGGTAAATTTCAATCAATGAACCCCAAAAGTCCCATGATAATCACAGTTAGTTATACTTCAACGTTTCCACGTTCCTTCGCAGCTGGGCAAAAGTAACCCAATATTAGGAAGGATTCTATTTCTCCGATACGACCATTCCACGTTGGGACGCTTGTACATCACTTCTCGCTAGTCTTGTCTTGGTCAGAAGGACTGTTGGTAGTCTGTAGGCAGATAGTACTAGCTAGGGTGCTGGTACTAAATCTGTAACCCTGTCGGCGTATCGTAATCCCCGACGGGGGTGGTGGCCTGAACTTCGAGTGATGATGAGTACGAGACATGGTGGTATTTTATTCCTCGAATCTATTTGGGTTACCTTATCTTTCTTTGGTTGCTCTGCCGCGTGATAGGAACCTCGGGTCAAGTGATTAAAGGAGTAATGACGTTGATTTGATTGCTCAGAAGTTTAATCACGCTCATGTGACGTTATGAACCCACGGTCTGTCCATCTATGACAAGGCCATTCAATCTTATTCATTTTGGAACTTGCCTTTTCTCCCCCAAAATGTGGAGTGCAAGTCTCCATCGATGTACAGAGCAGGAATGCCAAAGTTTGTAAGCAAGTCTGGTCGGTCTTGACCATCCAAGATCCCTGAACGCCTTCGCTCCAGTCTGTATGCCCAAAATGCAAAATGTAGGTCTCTCAATATGTACAATAGCCAAGATAGCCAAGAGAACTCAAGAAAACATACAAAAGAAAATGACAATAAAAATAACGAGGGTTGAAAAAGAAAGTTAAATGAGAGAAAAGGGGAATCATCGCACCATACGTTGCGCTAATGAAGGGAATATTCCAATGCCTCCTATATGTGAACCGGATATCACATGCTGTCAGCGGAAATCCCAACCCATCTAGATGGAATGGCATGTTCTTCTTCGTCTTCGTAATAATCGTAAGGGCTGTGTCGAGTTTGATTGTCTTTGCGAGGTGGTAGCCAAACTCGTGCCCGTGTAGGAATGTCGTCCCGGAGCTTGCCGCTGCGTCTCATGTTCATTTCCATCACAACCATGCGCAAAAAGTCACTGTTTTCGCGGGGTTCACGCTGGCGGGACATCGGCGGGGCCTCGGGATCGAAAGAAGAATATCGACCACGACCCTTAGACCCCGACAAGTGGAACCGACTCTTTCGAGAGCCCCGTTTTCCCGACCGGTGATAGGTCTGCATCTGCACGGAAACGGGGCAATTGCTAGTGTCAAGGTTTTCATGCGGGTGCTCCTGATAAGCATAAATTTCTGCGGGTGAAACCGTAATGGGATTGAAATAGCGCCGGAGCGCCGGAGAAGGTGGTTCGTTCATGGGCGGAGGCCGACGGTCATCCGTCATCTTCGGTGTGATCGTAAGAAGAGACCGGGTGAGGAAATCATCGGGCTGAACCGAGGGCGTAGCGAACGTTGAAACTGTCTGTGCCGCAGATTTTATTGCTCGCAGTGACGCCGTGAGGTTGGACTTGAAAGTGGACCCTAACCGTGGGAAGGATCGAGATGGCGAAGATTTCGTTGGAGTGCTGTCCAGGAAGGTAGGCTGTTGCACAGCCTCCCATTCGGAGTCTGATAATTCGTCCTCTAATAAAGGATGGTCGAAAGCACAACTCTCATACTGCGATAGGCGTAGGTATCGTCTCTCACACGGACTTCGTTGGCTAGAAGGTGTAGAGGGTACGGGAGACCCAGATGGCGACTCGAATTCCGCGTCCAACGATGGGACCGACTCAATAGACAACGAATGGGCGGATAATGATGGCGCTTCGCTATCGCTATCACAATTGCTTCCATTCGCAAACCGGTCATGGTCTTCAGGCGGGCTAAGGAGAATGTCGAGCATGGTATTGCCCGTACTCTCCATTAAGCTATCATCTCTAGACTTGACACCTTCTAACAACAACTTGCTAAAATCTTGTACATGATTCCCTTGAGGCATTTTTCGAGGCTCTCGAGCATTGCGCTTGCGTCGAGGCACCGGGATGGCGGTGGCTTCCAATATCGAAGCAATAGAACTAGGTACAGGACGGTCACCCGAGGCTGCCGATGATGTTCTATGAGCAGTCCTTGCACCTCTCAAAGTCTTTGGACCCTTTCTCACAGGGTCTCTCTGCACTGGGGTCATTCGAGGACCGCGTTTGGGGGGGATAATGACTGGGCTGGTGTGTGGGCTTTCGTTGTGAAGCTCGAGGCCTGAGACGTCCTGCACAGCAACAAAGTCCATCTCAGATTTTGAGAGCTGACTTTTCTTCCCATCGTGCAGGGGAGACACGGAGCTGAATAGAAAGGCCCTAGGAACCATCATCTTCACAGTTTATAACCGAAGTACAGTTGGTTGGTAAGACGTCCCAGGCCCGACGAGGCACTCTGATCGAGTTTCTGAGCGAGATACATGGATGAATGGTGGGACGACGAAGGAGAAGGAAGAGAAGTGTCCAAAATGGAAACTCCTCCTAGGGAGGCAGTCGAATAAATATGCAAAATACGTCAAGGGTGCTGCTGCTGTGTTGGCAGAGGGTTCCGGCGAGCGGCAGTGTCAGCCAAATGAAACCCAATGCGGGAAGCCGCCCGGATGCGTATGCAGGCACGCGACTTTGCGGATATTAATGGATACTGGTCACTGTGATCGGATTCTGGCGGTATGTTTCCCAGGTGAGACCAAAATAGAGGAGAGCTCAAGTTTAAGAAGATGGATATCTCCCCGGGGAATGCAAGGAAGATGCGAGCAGGAGGGAAGGAAAACAAAGAATGACCTCAAGACTTGAGTGCGATAAGAGTGACGGTAGGGGTATCGGCTTTAAGGTTGACCGTAACTTCGTTTGGATAGGGTAATTTCCAATACCTATTTTCGATACGTAGAGCCTAACTTCCCAGGGTTAAGCGTGAGACAGTGAAGAAAAAAAGAAAGAGTGAGGCGGGATGGCTGGGTTTAGGCGGTAAGGGCGGACAATGCCGAGCCCCGGAAACAGTATGGTGACGCTCAAGGGCGGGACGGCCAGTGGACAGTGGGATAAAATTACAGTGCGCAGAGGTACGACATTCGTACGGTATGTTCTCGAATATCCAAATGAACTTCGCCAGCAGTGTGGGTTGGGTACAAAGAAGCCTTTAGGCGCTCCACTTGCAAGTTCCATCTTACAGGGTTACGTAAAACTGTATCGCTAACTATCTATTGTTTCGACCTTCCCCAGTTGAGTAAGACTGTTATGGGGGAACTCTACTAGTACCCAACCACCTAACAATCAATAATAATAATAATAATTAATAAATAAACAATACAGAGATAGACCTGGATTTTCCCTCCTTTTCCTTGCCTTTTCTTTCTTTGTTGTTTATGTTATTTTGCTTTTGTGCGATGGAGAACTGAACACATTTTGCACAATAACTGTAGATGGTATTATGCATAGTACTTAATTCTCCATACAAACCAAACTTCGCTCTCGAATAATTAGTACCTAAACATCAACAGTAGCTGAGTGCCTTCATAATTGATCTCCCTGTATTGGACTGAACGGTATGCTAGTGCTTCCTTGGCACCAGCGCCTATGCAGGCTTTGCATATTTATCAATTTGATTAATTGGTTCAGGGAACTACCTGTATGGACTGGTTTGTTATTGCTCTGACTCTTAAGAGTAATAAATGAGTAATGTATACTCTGCGTAGTCAACTGATCAACTAGGAGTCTACGATATAGGTTGAGTACCATTGCCTGACTAACGAATCAAACAATGAGCGGACATTACCAGGGCACTCTAATTATGTTGTTTCATTTCATTTCATTTTATTTTTATTTTTATTTTTTTACTTTTCCAAAAAGAAAGAAAAAAAAAATTCTTTTTTTTCCCTCTCTGTTTCAGAAAACAGAGGCAAATGATAAAAATATTTCTTCTACGGCATTTTCACCTCGGTTCCGGAAGCATGCCGATTCAACATTCTGTACTCCGTAACTTCCATTCCATGGCACTAAACCAGACAGGGTAAAGGGACTTGGCATCAGGTAATAATCTGCATTGGGTGCATAATATCTTCATCGTGCCTTACTACTCGTAGTCTTTTTAAGCTGGAGTACGATGTGTTGTCAGCGTACATATGTTGGGGAAGAGCGGTAAGGGAAAAGTCGGGGTTCAAGCCATGGCTGGAGAGGAATCTATCTCATAGAAGACCTCTTTTGTTGGGACCGTGAGCGGCGTCGTACTTTGTACACCAGAAAAATCACAAGGGGTGTGTAAGGAGATATCGGGAATACAGTACGGAGTACGTAGCAGCTATTCTCCATAAAGGGGAAAGTTAATAGAACAAATTGAAGTCATTTACGACTCTTTATCAGATTTCCAACTTTTCTTATAATATAACGCCGCTGATTGGTGAGCAGACAATCGTTCGGGATGGACGGATGAAAGGACTATTACTAGTCGTACATCCATACAGGCACTGACCCAGCCCTAGAATCAGGGAGTTGTAGGATATATATCGGGAGATGAGACAATCCCTAAGACGCTCATGAATAAACACAATAAATGTATATATAACAAATGAATTGATCGCAAAACGAACGAACATGCGATGCAATGACGACAAAAGACCAGAGTTCTTAGTCAGCGAAGGCGGTGACCGCTTATCGCGCGATTTGCTCGCCAACCAAATGATTCAGAATGAATTGCTGCCAGAACAAGAGCCTCGATTGATGGGCTGCAGGAAGCTATTAGTAGTCTAGCAGCTACTAGTATCTATCGTGCCTGATTGTTCTCTGAGCGTCATCCTAGTCCAATCATCGTCTGCGCATCTCATCCTGACCCTTATCTCTATCGAGTTCGAGCCGACACTGCCCTGCAGGTCCCGGTAGAAATCCCCTCTATCAACGGCTCCCCACCTCCACTTGCGGGTCATTAGCAGTCTGGGGGCGACCTATCTCATTCCATCTACCACCTTCAATGATCTGTGCTCGTCGATCTGCGTGATACTGGACAATTGGTGTCACGCCCATCCACACACTAGCCGCTGCGCCCTGTATAGCTAATGCGCCCATCACCAGACCGGGATCTCTGTGTCGTGCCCTCACTACCCGCAACGTAATCTGCAGGTCACCTCTCGTCTACCTTCAAGGCCCGGTGACATCCATTCAAAATCAAATCGCCAAGTGCTCTCCCCACGTCCGATAAGCATGCTCCGCTCTGACCCCACGCTTTCTCCGAACATTCTTGGGTGGACATGACAAGCATGAACGAGGGCTCTGCGGAGAAGAGGCCAGAATTGGCCATAGAGTCGTCAACATTCAAAGGACCTCGAGGAAAGCCGAGTGCGCGGCCCCAGACAATGAACACAGATAGCGGCTCTACTTCCAAGAGGCGCTGTGTCAGCACAGCCTGTATCGCTTGTCGCCGAAGGAAATCGAAGGTATAGGAGCTGCTTCCATTGCCTACATCAACTTCACGTCTAATGTTTGCTCCCAGTGCGATGGCAATCTACCCAGCTGTGCAGCTTGCTCCTCAGTATACCATACGACCTGTAATTTCACCACATCAACGGAGGTGTAACGCGATGGGCATAGCTAACTACTTCTTAGGCGTTTATGATCCGAATTCCGACCATCGTCGCAAAGGGGTGTATAAAAAGGACACCGATACGCTACGGACGAAGAATGCGACTCTATTGACCTTGATACAAGCCATACTGAACTATGAAGAAGAGGATGCTTTCGACTTGGTGCGGCAGATACGAGCCTGCGACAATCTAGAGGATGTAGCACAGTCGATCATGGGTCAGGAAAGGGGTTCTACGTCCATGTCCAGGGATCCCGTATCTAATGGAGATTATGACCCGACACAGACAGATCAATTTGAGTCGGAATTAGCTGGAAGGATGAGTGGTCTTATGCTGGACGGCTCTCGGAAGTTTATTGGCGGCACTTCAAACCTCATCTTTTTGCCGCCCGGGTCGGAGCTCTATGAATATAATGCAGGCTTGGAGGGCCAGAGTGTCGGCCATACACACGATCGCTCTATTACCCGATGGACGAGAGTCACTTCGGATGAACAGTTACTTAGCCACCTCATGACGATGTACTTCACATGGCATTACCCCTTTTTCACAACCCTCTCAAAAGACCTCTTTTATCGCGATTATGTTCATAATGTTTCGGGCCAGTATTGTTCGTCTCTATTGGTCAATGCAATGCTAGCTCTCGGCTGCCACTTCAGCTCTTGGGATGGGGCCCGGGAAGACCCTCAGAACCCGGCGACCGCAGGAGACCACTTTTTCAAGGAAGCCAAAAGGCTTGTGCTCGAAAATGATGAACATGCAAATGCGAAACTTTGCACGGTGCAAGCTCTCGCCCTCATGTCTGTCAGAGAGGCTGGGTGTGGTCGTGAAGGCAAAGGCTGGGTCTACAGTGGCATGAGCTTCCGTATGGCATTGGATTTAGGGCTAAACTTCGACTCAACCAGCCTTGGAGCTCGTAACCTTGATGAAGAGGAGGTCGACGCACGGCGAATTACCTTCTGGGGCTGTTTTCTCATTGACAAGTACATCCCACTGCTGCCTTATATAGATGCTCGAACAAATGGCTAAACTATCATAGATGCTGGTCCAATTACCTTGGCCGCCTTCCTCAACTGGCGGCTACTAGCGTGAGTGTACCAAAGATTGACATTCTACCCAACGAGGAAGCAGAATTGTGGTCTTCCTACACTGATGCTGGGGCGAGCCTCGAGCATACACAACCCTCGCGGACCAGAACGGTGGCATTACAGATATACAAACTGTGTGAGATCAGTAGCGATCTACTCGTGTCTTTCTATGATCCAACCCCTCGAGATAAACCCCTCTCGAAACAGATTGAACTGAAGAGGCTCAGCGAAATTCACACGAGGCTTGAGGCATGGAAGAAAGACTTACCGAAAGAGCTAGAGCCAAAAGAAAGGCTGTTGCCTCAGGCTTTGCTCATGCAGTAAGCTGAAAATTACCTATCCTTGATATGCTATAACAGAAATACTGACCTTGTCGCAGTATGTTTTACCAACTCCTCTTCATACACCTTTATCGTCCTTTCCTAAAGTACACAAAGTCAAACTCACCTCTTCCCCAACACGTCTCCCCTCGTAAGCTGTGCACGCAGGCTGCTTCCGCCATTTCAAAGCTGCTCCGGATATACAAGCGTACCTACGGGTTCAAGCAGATCTGCAATATTGCAGTATACATGGCTCATACCGCCTGTACCATCCACCTGCTCAACCTCCCGGAAAAGAACGCTCAAAGAGACGTTATTCATTGTCTCCGGCATCTCGAGGAAATGGGCGAAAGCTGGCTTTGCGCTCGACGGACCCTTCGAATCCTCGATATATCGGCCAGCAAGTGGCAAGTTGAGCTGCCTCCAGAGGCGGTTATCGTTCTCGAACAGACGCATATGAAATGGGGTTCATGGGGTTCATGGGACCAAGCAGCATCGCCCTCCGCCTCTGAACAGTCTCCATCGTCTGTTACAGCTCAACCTCAACCTCCTGAAACAATCTCAAACAGTCTACCGTCGCCTGGCCAGTATGGTCCCACACGTGAGCCGGGCGATCCTTCATTTCAAGGCCCATCCAATGCACTTGGATCTTTAGGCACCCAGTATGCGACAGGGGTGCCGATTCCCACTTCTTTGTCGACCATGCGAGCAGCTCAGCGGTATTCAAGTGCACAGCTACCACGAACGGACGCCCAATTACCAGAGCCAACATACCTGCGGCCTGTATCACATGCTTACGGCTCAATGCATCCTGTTCCTCTCTCTCAGCATGACTCATGGTATGATCCGAAGGATGCGCAAGGCCGGTCACTAGGTACTGGTCAAGATATGTCATCCACATCAAGCGCATCTCCAATGGCTGGATTTGGTACGCCGGAGAATTTAGTTGAGGAAAGCCAAGATTGGTGGTTTCGGGATGCGAATGCGTTTAATCCAGGATATGAGAATTGGAAAGAAGGCTGGAACTCTGCTATGACTGGGATGACGCCCGACTTCCGCTACATCGGGCAGGTATCCGGGCCTGACAATACTTCCAGGCCTCAATCAGTCAGGTATGCTGTGGGAGTCCCTTCTAATATAACACAATCGGACGAGAACTCCGCTATCCCGAGATACAATGATGTAGTTTATCCGAGAAACTACCAGCCGTGACCTCGGCGGCATTTCTAGGTACGACCTGTATTATGACTTATCATTTGGGATGTTGATTATTTTATGATTTTAATGAGGGTACGGTCTTTCTCTTCGTTGTCTTCATACTCCCTTTCCGCGTGTTTTCTATATCTTTGTAAAAAGACGTATATACTGTACAGGCTACGAACCTCTTTCGTTATAGCCCATATTCAGGGCACTAGTAATCTGCCACGATTTTGTAATTTTTTTTTCGAGATCCTTGCTGCGCGAATGCTCACCGTATGCATCGAGTTGTACGAAACCACATAGATATATATTGAGGGTGACCGAAATCTTATATTCAATGTAAATTTATGATAAAAGTTGCGTTGGTGATAACCTCTAGCAAAGGAAAAAGAAACAATACGTCCGAGATATTGAATAAGAATCACCCTCTAAGATATGGACACTTCGACCTCAATGGACATATGAATAGACAGAATGGATCGTTCCTCGCTTTCAACAGATCATAAAGGTAGCTCCAAGGTTCAACTTCGAATGCAAAGTATGCTCAACAACATCATACTTCTAGAATCATCGCTGGGTCTTGAATAAAAGAACTGGTACGGGCCGGCCTATATAAGAATGTAGATAGGACAGAAAGGAAGTGAAATTATGCGTCAGTGGTATCACTACTGAACTAATTAGAATGCGCGAACGAGCAATTTACGGTTTGGCATGATATCTAGGGAGAAAAGGGAGACTTACCAGAAAATAATCTGCAACAGGCTTTTTGGCGGGCATGCCCCTTGTATCCTGCGCAGCGGCTTCAAAAACCCTGTACCTTCTTCCGGGACTCCTTACGCCTGGCTTGTCGGTTGCCATAATGCCGTTGCTCCGTCCGTAGTCGCCATTACTCCTAGTTACCGTACCCCCGTTGCTTGTGTCTTCGCCGAGTTCCAGAATGGATGCCACGTTGCCACATCGATAGCAGTAATTGGGGGCTGACCAGACAGTGACGATCCCGCCGTCGAACATCTCCTTATAGCCCTCCATCACAAGCTGATGGGCGCGCGCAATCAGAGAAAGGTCGTTTCTGTAGTTAAACTGCTTCACGATGTCCCCGCCGAACAGGAACCCGGCACCGCGCGGGCTCAATCCCCAGCCGTCGATTTCATCAGGGTCGGACCATAACAGGTCGCACATGGCGCCCTCATGGGGGACTTCTTGTTTTCTGTCGATTAGACGGATCTTGTCGACTGTGTCGATGAGAGGGGAGAGACCGCCGTGCACACAGAGGACTGCTCCGGTTCTGCTCGAATAGCTGCCTGCGCCTTCTCCTGAGGCACCTGTGCCGGGCGCACCTGTTCTAAGGGGTGCGTGGCTTGGGATATCCCCCATGTTTCTAGTTTCCGATGATGCATCCGACGAGGCACTCTGTCTTGGTCGGTATGAGCTGTATGTGACCTCTCCCTTCGAATTTAGTACTTCGGTCTCCAGCTCTGCGTCGTCGATTGGCATAGTGGACTGAGTAGAATCGTTCATAACGGGTCCGGTCGGTTCAAGTTCCGAACTTGTTCCAAGAACAAGGGCGCCTAGCGCCAAATAGTCGAAGACTTCACAGCAATAACGCCAAACGTTGGCGCTGCCATATTTCCGAATACATTCGTCATAGAAGCCGTAGACCGTTGTGATTTGGCGCGACTCGTGATTTCCACGGATGAGGGTGATCCGGTCTGGATAGCGCACTTTGAGGCAGAGAAGGAGGAGGAAAGACTCAAGGGAATAGAATCCGCGATCGACAAAGTCGCCCATGAAGAGATAGTTGGTGTCGGGTACATCTCCTCCGACTCGGAAGAGCTCCATCAAATCATGAAACTGGCCATGAATATCGCCACAAATCGTGACCGGCGCATCTACACAGACAACATTTCCTTCTTCTATGAGGAGCTCTCGCGCCTTATAGCAGAGTTCACGGACCTGGGTTTCGGGTATCAAGCGGCAGGCGCGTAGTTGGGCGATCGCCCTACATCACAGATGAGAGTTAGTTTCGACGTTCCTAGAGTAAGTGAAAGCAGTTGACCATGATATACCTATCGAGATCGCTCATGGTGAGTTAGCGCAAAGATAGAGAATGGGAATGGGTCGATAGGTGAGTCGAAGCAGAGGGGTGGTTGGTGGGTCCTGGCACCAGCGAAGAGTTGGGGGGAGAAAGAAGCCGAGTCGGTTGAGCCTGGACAGCCCAGGGAGCGAAAAGAATGACGACCGTTATGTTGACGGCAAAAGAGCGATCATTTTTTTTGTTTGATGCAGCATCCAATAAGAGAACACGACAGGGGATCTCCGAGAAACTGGGCAGGTTCACTGAACTGGGGGAGGTTCTTTTTCCGTGGCGCGCCAACAAGCTGACGGGACTCTCGCGGTTTGGCGTCCGAGTGACCCCACAGCCAATCAGCGTCGCCAAAGATAAGATTAGATCTGATCGCCAAGACTAGTCCGAATTCTTCGTCGAAGTCCTTCCAAGTGGACGTCCGTTGACTCCGTTCTTCGGTCTTCCCCGGCCAACCCTATACTCCTTTCGCTCTCCCCACTACCATTGGCGAGGCCATGTCTCCCTTCTGGGCGACTCCCTCATCGTTTCTTTAATCCGCCTTGAAGTGTTCCTCGCAAGGTGTGTCAATTGATTCCTTCCCCATTCTAGTCCCTCACTAAACGAGGAGTTTCGCACAGTGAAGTCCTTCCATGCCGGAGTGACGCTCAGTGCGCCCGAAAATATACAGCTTCTTCCCTCAATCATTATCAATATGCCGCCACATCTACATCCGCGGTCGCGGTCGACGTCCTCTCTTTTCGCAGCCACTCTCCTTGCGTCTCTTTTCGTCGTCGGCCTGCCACACCTTTTCCCTTGTCCTGCTCCGCGTCGTACCCTCGCTGATTCGGAGATGCTTATCACTGCTGATGGGCAACAAATCCCCCGGATTCGAAGGAGGAAGAGGAAGGATGCCGACATGCTTGGCTCAGAAGGAAACGTCCTCGCCCAGACACACCAACCTCCCGACGAAGTGTCAACATTCCTGCAATTGGAGGAGGAGGCTGAACGATTGGCCAAGGCGGGAAGAGAATGTCCTGTTCCAAAGCCTGGTGGAGTTCTAGGTGAATTGCTTGGTTTTTCAAAAGGCATCAACGAAAATTAGAGGAGCCACGACGCAGATATCAACGGTCGAGCTTTCCTAGCCACGAGATTCAAAGGAAGGTGCCATATACAAGCGGGGGTTGTGTCATTACGAGAGATACATTATGAATTGGGTCGCTGGAATGTTGGACCACTGTTTAGAATATCTATTAGCATTGGGTCATGCCACGGAGGCACCAAATTCAATGCCAACAATATACCCATGTACAGATAGTCATCTGAAGCCATGATGTACAATGGCATTTTTATGTCTATAACTTGACTCAATCAATTTTTAAGAAAGCCCTTTTGATTTCTCTGTCTTGATTGCGCCTCCCTTGCTTCGGGTCGGTGTTGTTGCAACGCGACGTATCTGGAATAAAAATCCCGCTAAGCCGGAAATGGTCAGATATCATTGGTTCTCCCGCCTGAGGCCACATGCAATTCTGGCACAACATCAATGATGGAGTTGAAGCACTTCATCCACGAACTGTGCCTGGACCCCAGACATACCAAATGGATTGCGCCGCTTCTTATCGTAGGCGATGCCTTCCTGTGTGCTCTTATCATCTGGAAGATCCCATGTAAGTTTGTACTGTTATCATCGTGTTGTTTGTTCGTGCGGAGCTGACCGTTGCGACTACATTTAGATACTGAGATCGACTGGACGACATACATGCAGCAGATAGCGCTTTACATATCTGGCGAACGTGACTATACCCTGATCAAGGGATCCACTGGACCCCTTGTATACCCGGCCGCCCACGTATATAGCTACACAGCACTCTATCACCTAACAGATGAAGGCCGAGATATTCTTTTCGGACAGGTATTATTTGCTGTCTTCTACCTTGTCACGCTAGCGGTTGTGATGGCTTGCTACAGGCAGTCAGGGGCTCCTCCGTATCTCTTTCCTCTTCTTGTCCTTTCCAAGCGGCTCCACAGCGTCTTTGTTTTGCGCCTTTTCAATGATGGCCTTGCAGCCTCTGCCATGTGGATAGCGATTCTGCTCTTCCAGAATAAAAAATGGACGGCTGGTGTTACAGCCTGGTCTGTTGGGGTTGGCATTAAGATGACGCTACTGCTCCTTGCGCCAGCCATTGCAGTGGTAACTGTGCTCAGCCTTTCCCTCGTCCCGAGCATTCGACTTGGAATACTAGCATTGATCATCCAGGTACCTATGCCTTTTCCAATCAGGAAAGTTAAGCTACGGCTGACTTACAAATTTTTAGGTTCTACTAGCGATTCCCTTCCTACAGGGTAACCCTACAGGGTACGTCGCGCGGGCCTTTGAGTTAACTAGACAGTTCATGTTCAAGTGGACTGTCAATTGGAGATTTGTGGGTGAAGAATTGTTTCTATCCAAACAGTTCTCTTTGGTCTTGCTAGGTTTGCATATTTTTCTGCTGGGATTATTTGTTGCCACAGACTGGTTACGACCGTCGGGATCTAACCTCCCTGGCTTCCTCCGGAACCTCCTCCGAGGACGCCAACGCACCGTTGTGCTTTCCAAGTCTTTCATAATGACCGTGGTACTGACATCGCTTGCAATTGGATTGTTGTGCGCAAGGTCCCTTCATTACCAATTCTTTGCCTATCTCTCCTGGCTACGCCTTACCTTCTCTGGCGGGCTGGGTTCCATCCAATCCCTATATATGCGATCTGGGCGTTGCAGGAGTGGGGTTGGAATGTCTACCCAAGCACCAATGCCAGTTCTTCGGTCGTTGTCTTCTCACTTGCTGTTCAGGTTTGCGGTGTCCTCTTCAATAATAGAAATGCACTGAGCGATGCGTCCCCGAAGCGTAACGCAAAGGAGCACATCCAGTGATAATAAGCCTCTCATAGGCTGCAAATTGATCGTTGCCTTCATTATTTTCATCGCTTAGTCCTCATGGCTCATATTAGACGTAAAGCCACGTGCATTGGATGCAGAAATCACCATGCGTCGATTAGTTCAGGCATCGGAGTCGTCCGAGGGAGGCATCTTGCCCACATTTGACTCTTCCTCCTCCTCCGAATCCGATGCAACAACAGTAGATTGCTTGACAAATTCCTTTGGCCTGTGAAATACAGAATCAGTAAGAGTATAGAAACAATGGTTTGGTTAAATCGACTTACCAAAATGGAGCCTTGCGCCAGGCTTTCTCATCCCGAACGATATTAACAATCTCCCCAGCAAGCTTGTTGTCCCGGTCCTCAAGAGCGTTGGTGTCGACGACGACGTAGGAATTGCGTTTCATCCAGATCCTTGAGCGGAAGCGGGAAGGTAGTTCGACCAAAACCGTGTCTTTTGATGGCAATTCGACCACATATAAATTGTTTCCCGTTGCCTTGATGACTCGCGCGATTTGCTGACCTTGTTGGAGCTCGTCTGGAGGGGTTAAGGTTTCTTCTGCTGTTGCGAGAACCTTGCGCCGTGGTGGTGCCATGGTGGTCGATTGCAGTTGGGTTCTCTTTTCTTGGAACGTAAATCGTGGCAATCTCTTAAATACTGTCTCGTATGAAGCAATTGCTGATCAAATAAGTTGTGATGAGGGGTAGTCTAGTTGGTGATTCGATAGCGGAGGGGAAAAAAAAAAGAAGTCCCCGTGTGTCAAATTAACATGTGGGGGGGGGTTTCTTGGTCACCCGCAGTGGATCTCTTTGGCCTTCCCTTGCTGCACCTTCCACTTTCACCTTTGATCTGAGTATGCATGGTCAACAATCACTGGGTCCGCTACTGTTGCTACCCTCCAAGACCTCCACGACATACTTTTGATATATCCTCCACTTTAGTGTTCAAAAACTCCCTCCAAATAACTCTGTGCAAAACACCAACACCACATAGTCTCCCTAGACGATGTAGCTACTATTCAGGTGTGACCGATTATCCATGCTGAGGACTCATTAATAATGTCCTTTAATCAGTCATTGTTGTTGGAAGATGAGTCACCACTGTCCAATGCCCTGTCATTTTCGTCAGGCGATCAGTTGGATGGGCGAAATGTTCACCTTTTCGACGCCTTGACAGGTACTCTGCTAGGTGGGGTTTACCAAAACGGCTCAATCACTCAACGTAATTTTTATCGATATGGTCAATGTCATCCTGGCTGTTGACCCCTCCCACAGTACCAGTGCGCGTGAGAAGAAAATTTACAAAGGATATAGAGGCCCGGGATCGAAGATGCGTTTTCTCAGGGGTCCGAAACCATCGCGCGCATCTGGATACTTGGAATGGCTTGGAGGCTGCGCATATATTTCCCCCTCGAGAAGGAAAGTTATTGGGTGGCAAGCAATTTCAGTCGATGGATTACCAATGCCGACTAAAATAATCACTCTTCGCCCATAAATTCAGTCCAAAATGGTTTCATTTTACAAACCAATCTCCAACAAAAATTCGATACTTACGAGATTTCTGTAAATCCTAATGTAAGTAATTTTATCTACTATATCAATATATAATGGATACTTGACTAATCTATTTAAAGGATCATTACAAGATTGTGTCTTTTGTCTATGATGATTTCAACATACATGGAAAGAAACTTCATCCTGTTTGCTGAAACCTAGAAGATCCCAACTGTGTGTCTAACTATTTACTACGATGGCATTCTCGTTAAGCCATTCTTTCAGGAATGAAAGGAGCAGGAGAACCCATTTTTGAACATGACTTCAACCCTGGCGAGGATATGATGAGGACAATATTAGAAGGGCCACATCCAATCGAACGATTGGAGATGGAACTTTCTTCGAGATTGCACGAATGGGAACGAACTCAAACCTGGTCTCAGTGATGTGCTTGCTTGGTGCGCCACATGACCATTTGATGCATCTGTACACTGCAAGGGGTACACGATCAGATCTGTGATCTGTTGTCATCCAACCCACTTTTCCATGGCAATACCGTTCTCGTACGCAGACTGTGCATGTTTTGCTTGTTAGATCTTATGCCATGCCTATGGAAATGCCTGAACATTGACCGATAAGAAAAGTAGTTGGCGGTACTGGTATGCAGTGTGACCATCAGTAGTCTGCGATCCTACAGATACGTGACGAAGTGCAAAACCGTCTCCGTTGATGGATCGTACATCTATAACATCAGACGAGGGAAAGGAATTAAAAAATAAAATAAAAAAAAAAAAGAAAAAAAAAAAAAAAAAGGCAAAGGTCAGGGTAATTAATAGTCCTACTCCATGGATTTGGTAGTCGGGTAGGGTTAGTACTTCACGTTGTTGTATCTGTCTGGCAATCTACGCCCAAAGAGGAAATAGACAGGGCAAGCTGGGGTTGACCCAGTGTTCTGTACGGACTCCGTAGTTACAGCATACCAGATGACAAAGACGAGTATACTTTCCAGCTGGAACACAGTCTCCTCTGCCGTGAAGAAGGAATACCGCAGTAGAAGCTTGTGAAAGGGTCATTGTTTGCCACCACCTGTCAGACAATTCGGTACACAGTACAATAGTCCCTTGACTCGGGGCAATTCGCGTTTGGATTTATTTACATCATTGTTTGTTTTCGTCAGCATTTCACTTCCCGAGACATTCTTTTTGTCTTTGCTTTTTTCCTTTTTCATTTTCTTTTTACATTTTCTTTTTCTTGAAGTTCTACAGTTTCTGGAGAGGAGATCCTATACTAGTAGTACTACCTGACCCCGGCAATTTGAAATACTCTTGACGCATCCGCATGTTTACCTTGATAACTACTAGTACTTCCCAGTACTTTAAATCCCCTTGGACACACGTGCCCTCATCGGATAAAATTACCCAAGGACTAAGTTATTTGACTTGCCCCTCCGTCCCGCGACTGCCTGAGGAGTAAATGCGGGCGGTAAAGCAAAAACAACGAAGAAAGTAAAGCCTGGACACCAAAAGGTCAACCCACCCTTCCCCCGAGAAAAAAAAAGGAAAGGATCCCAAAACAATTTTCCCTTTTCTGTGCGTTGTGTGCGGTGACCAGAAACTCCATTGCTGGAATCAACTCATCTCGCTGTCCAACTCTTCTCTCTCTCTTCCCCCCCACAGTTTCGCGCGTAACCTGCGGGCATTGACCGAGAGTGACTGTCTGGCACGGCTCGTCATCGTAACGGGGGAACCTGTCTCACCATTTCCCGAGTAGCATTAACTTAACGGGAACGTTCTGTGTCAGTCCCGTTGCGATTTATTGATCGTCCATCCCCCTCTCTTTTGGAATAATCTGTCAACAAAGTACCCCGCGGCGAACGTTTTCTTCCCTTCTAGTTCCCTTTGCCTGCTGGCTCTATTTCACACTTCTATTGCCGCTTGTTATTGATCGCATTGTTGTCCTCTCAGTTGGAATAATTCGGAACGTCGGTCGTCGTCCCACCACCCTCTCAATATGGACGGGGACGACCTCATCGCCTCGGTCTACCGCAAGATCGAGCGGGAAAAGGCCCTGATCACCGCCGCGTCCAATATGCGACAGTCAACCGATAATCCCCTCGTGCAGCAGAGAGTCGATGCGAACATCCGTGATGGTCGGAAGAACATTGCTTACTTGGAGGAGAAGATGAGAGAGTTGCAGCTACGTCGAGATGGAGGATCCCCCACGGACAAGCGTCTTCCACCTGAACCGGGTGCAGGGCCAGCCCCTCCTCCGAAGGACTATGGTTCCGGCTATGACGAATATGACGCCTCGGGGGCTTACCCGCAAGGAGGATCTGGTTCTATGCCGTCGGGCGCTCCCTTTTCAGATCCCCGGCCTTTCGCTCCTGTTCCCAAGGCCCGGCCGAATTTTACTAAACTTGGTATGCTTCATCTGTCGCTCCTCGCCGACAGGGGCCTTGCAAGCTTCCAACATGTCTAACTGACGCTGTGCTATGTTCAGACTTGATCAAATATGATACCCCGTATCTCGGGCCTAAGATCCAACTCATGTTGTCCCAACTCGAGTTCAAGCTGAGTGTTGAAAAGCAATACAAAGCAGGCATTGAGAAGATGGTTCGCCTGTATCAGGATGAGGGTGATAGGAAGAGCCGCGCAGATGCCGAGGGCCGGCGGATCGAGAGTAATCAGAAGATTCAACTGCTAAAGCAGGCCTTGAAGCGATATGAAGATCTTCACGTTGACATTGAGTCGACAGACCCCCCAGACGGTATGTTCTTTCCACCCCGGTGACCGCCGCGTAGGACTAACTGCTTGTTTTCTAGATGAGAGTTTGAACACCCCAAACATGCGCAAGCCACTTACTGGTCTTCTAACATTGCGTATCCAGGCGGTCACTGATGTAGATCATGCCACCAGCTCGAGGTTCTCTCGGGGCCCCGAGACTTTCGTCATCATCAAAGTTGAAGACACTATCAAAGCCCGTACCAAAGCGACCCGGACCGATAGGTGGCAAGATGAGACCTTTACTGTCGACATTGACAAGGCAAATGAAATTGAGCTTACCGTGTACGACAAGTCGGGTGACAGGCCCACTCCGATTGGCATGCTTTGGGTGCGCATCTCCGATATCGCCGAGGAGATGCGTCGCAAGAAGCTCGAAAGCGAGCTCAATGCATCGGGTTGGGTTTCCGCGGATAAGATGGAACACGGCGGTTCGTCGGGGCGGCCTGACACCGCTGGACAACCGGGATCTCCGCATGCCCCAGGCTCCGCGGGGCATCTTGGCCCCCCTGCCCAGGGTTATACAGGTGCTCCGGGTGGAGCGCCCTCTTCAAACTCAGTGATGATCGAGTCTTGGTTCGCATTAGAACCCGTGGGTCGAATCCATCTGTCGATGAGCTTTGGTAAGCCTCTATGGGTTGTGTATTATTCTACGACCGGGTACACTAACCTGTTGTATAGCCAAACAATTGAAGGATCGACGACCGTTCGATATTGGTCTCAACCGACAGGGTGCCGTTCGTCAGAAGAAGGAAGAGGTCCACGAAAAGCAGGGACACAAGTTCGTCACTCAACAATTTTACAATATCATGCGTTGTGCTCTCTGTGGTGATTTCCTAAAATATGCTGCCGGCATGCAATGCGCCGACTGCAAGTATACGTGTCACCGCAAGTGTTACCCGAAGGTCGTTACCAAGTGTATCAGCAAGGCAAACTACGAGACGGATCCAGACGAGGAGAAAATCAATCACCGTATTCCTCATCGGTTCGAAGGCTTCTCCAACCTCTCTGCCAACTGGTGTTGTCACTGCGGATACTTGCTCCCATTTGGACGTAAAAGTGCCAAGCGATGTTCAGGTATGATCTCCTAACGAACTCCAAGCCGTGTATATGACATCGATGCTTACATTGCTTTTAGAATGTGGCCTCACTTGCCATGCCAACTGTACTCATCTTGTCCCTGACTTCTGTGGCATGTCTATGGAAGCTGCGAACCAGATCTTAGAAACGTTGATTCGTGCTAAGAACCACAATAAATCCGCTTCTGTTAGTTCTGGTCTCAGTGGCCGCACCCTGCGGCCAGGTGGCCCGCCTCAAACCCCTCAGGATCCTGCTCTTGCATATCCGCAAAAACCTGTGGAGAGCCCATATGGGTTACCTCAAAGAGAGCCTTCTGCCGAAGCCGTGAGCGCTGCCACTAACTCGTATATACCACCACAGTCTCCAACAGCCGCACAGCGACAGCAAATGCCGCCAAGAACGTCATCTGCAGGTCCTGCCGCTGCCGCTGCCGCTGCCGCCACAGGCATGCGCACGCCCCAACAGATGCCTAGTATGCTGTCCTATAGCCCCTCCACCACCTCCCCTTCGTTTCCAATATATGCTTCTGGAGTAGAATGGATTGAGCTAATCACGGAGAAACAGGTCCGGTGCAAACCCAGCCGCCTTCCCACGCCCATTATGATCCTGCCGCGTATGTGTCCTACCAGCAAAGCATGGCGCCCCCGCCGCAACAGCCGATGCCGCAGAAGGTTGCGTCGCCTTACGGTGTACCTCCACAACAGCAGCCAGTACCGGTAATGCAGCAGCAGGTTGCTGTAAAAGAAGATGCTCCACCTCAGCAACCCAAGGTCAGGATTGGCTTGGATCATTTCAATTTCCTGGCTGTCCTTGGTAAAGGTAACTTCGGAAAGGTCATGCTGGCCGAAACCAAGAGCACCAAGAAGCTTTATGCCATCAAGGTTTTGAAGAAGGAATTCATCATTGAGAATGATGAAGTGGAGAGTACCAAATCTGAGAAGCGTGTCTTCTTGGTTGCGAACAAAGAACGCCACCCATTCCTTCTCAACCTCCACGCCTGTTTCCAAACAGAGACTCGTGTGTACTTTGTCATGGAATATATCAGTGGTGGTGATCTGATGTTGCACATTCAACGCGGCCAGTTTGGTTTGAAACGAGCACAGTACGTACTTCTAGCTTCCGAGTCCTCTCCCCAACCTTCCCACTCTATCACATGGAGATAAATGCTGCTAGTACTAATACAACACGCAGGTTCTACGCTTCAGAAGTTCTGCTGGCACTGAAATATTTCCATGAGAACGGTGTCATATACCGTGATCTGAAGCTCGATAATATTCTACTGACACTGGATGGCCATATCAAGATTGCAGACTATGGTCTTTGCAAGGAAAATATGTGGTATGGCGCCACCACAAGCACATTCTGTGGAACCCCCGAATTCATGGCACCTGAGGTAAAGCCCAAACACCCTAGACATCTTAAATATAACCATGTTTGACTGACATGTTCTCAAAGATTATTTTGGATAAAAAATACGGTCGAGCAGTTGATTGGTGGGCATTTGGTGTGCTGATCTATCAGATGCTCCTGCAGCAATCTCCCTTCCGTGGTGAAGATGAGGATGAAATCTACGATGCCATTCTTGCCGATGAGCCCCTGTATCCAATTCACATGCCCAGGGATTCCGTTTCGATCCTTCAAAAACTACTCACTCGCGAGCCAGAACTAAGACTTGGCTCCGGCCCAACCGATGCCCAAGAAGTCATGTCTCATGCCTTCTTCAGAAACATTAACTGGGATGATATCTACCACAAGCGCGTCCCTCCACCGTTCTTGCCGACCATCACCAGCCCCACAGACACAAGCAACTTCGATCAGGAGTTCACCAGCGTCACACCTGTTCTGACGCCTGTGCAATCCGGTATGTAACCATCCTCAAACCGTTTCTTTTTTTTTTTCTTTCTCTTCTTCATTTAGTGCTAACCATGACATGTTCTCTCCAGTCCTCTCCCAAGCCATGCAGGAAGAATTCCGCGGTTTCTCCTACACGGCAGACTTCGCCTGATCCAAATCTATATTTAATGGTGACTAATGCCCTGTAGTCATCGTAGTTATTACTCATCTGTTTAACGTGGACCTTGGATTCTTTGTTTCTCTGCCTTCTTCATTATTATTGCCTTCAGCACTTTTCGCACTGGAAATGTTCAAACAACATACCCATGAGAGTTTTGAGAGAAGGTGTACGCGCTTTTCTGGCTTTTACGAGTGCAGATGGAATGGAATGAGTAATTTGGTCTGAGGTTGTTTTATCCTATATCTCCCCAGCATTCTAGGCTGTTTATTTAATTCTCTTGAGGGTTTTCTTCCCAATCTCGGAATGTAATTCTCCTTTTACTGTTCGCCTTGAATGTGCCCTACTCGACTGTGACACGCACTAGGACTCTCCGTTCTGGCCCATGTGTGAATGTAATACGTCTGCATACTGATTTGGCTGTCTGTCCCTAAGCTTGTAGCTGATCGGGGCCACGAAACATGACAAACAAGTCCCATGACCCCAGCTCCCCCCTTACTACCTGCCAAACACCGACTCTTTGCCCTGTCTCTTTCTAACTTGTGTTACTGCAACCGTGGAGCCCCTCTTGCATACTGAAATGGACATACCGAATTCATGATAGGTATGACTTTATTTTGTTCTCATTGTCTTCCATAGCACCATTCTGCAAAGCCCTTTTCCCACTACGAATTCATTGCGAAGTATCAACCGGCCAGCGTCCGGACAAAGAACGGTAACTAAAGAAAAAAGGATATTAAAATAAATGTTCTGTGTCTGATTTCTACAAGACTGGTCTCAAACGCTGTGAGTTTTGACTCGCAATGACACGCCCCGAAAACACTCAAAGCCCCATCTTCTCGAGAGAAATATCAGTCATCAACGCCTCGTGGGTAATATATCTTACTCTAATTCCTCACGTGGTCACATAGGTCTTCTTACTGCGCTCTCCCCATTACGATACCTCCTACTGCCAATCTAGTGAAGGCAGATGAGTCTTCCACCTCCTCGACCGATCCATTGAGACAACACACTTGAAAACATTTGATTGCTCCTGTTTATATCTATCAAATGAAAATTCACAGATCTTACGATATGATAGCAGACTCGGGTGGGCTCAATCAACCTTTACATTCAATGACTCAACCTCCCCCTTCTAATAAGACCAAAGCCAGAAAGAGAAGAACCTTGGACCCGAAACATACTCCAAAGTATGACACTGAAAAAGACGAAGCCTGCACAGGGCTTCCTACACCAAAACAAGCACCACAGAAGGAAAAGAAGGTACCTGACGACGCTTCCAGTCCAAAGAACATCACATCTGGCCAGTCTTCCAAGAGAAGGAAGCTTAACGGTCAACTGGATAGGATGACTCATTCTCTCCCTGGACTCGTTCATGGTCCAGTCGAAGAGACAAAGCAGACTAGTGTCAATACAAATGCATGGCACTATGCGAAATCACTGTTAGAGGCCGGCCTTTCTATCTTTGCTCCCACGAGCGACATCTTGACGGCCACACATGATAACAAACGGCCTACACCTGAACCAGCTGAGAATCTATCTTCGCCTTTGTCAAAGCACTTGGGGAGCGCCGTAGTCGGTAGTGAGAAAACTATATCATCAAAGCGGCTTTTGGTTCAGATCAGAAGCCATTCTCGTAATACAGTCACCTCCATGCCCCATATAAAAGAAGAGATATTTGACGATCCAAATTCCCGTATCTCGCAGGCTACAAACTCAACTGTTGTCTTGAATCTTTCTGTGGAGAAGGCCAGGCGCTGGGCTGACGCAATTGACATTCCTGACGGTCTCTACAATGAGGAAGAGAAAGATCTCTTTTTCCGGCTTGCCATGCGTGGGTTTGAGCCCCTTATACCAGACCAGTGGAGGTCTGACTTTCCTACCCTTCCATATACCTTGTTTTCCGATGCAGAGGGCGATTCAGAGCCATTGATTCACACAATCAAAAGCTCCAGGACGTATGGTGAGTTCATGCCTCAACTCCACTTACTTTTTCTTCTAACTATATCATAAACTGCTAAAATATAGTGTAGCAATCAGATCTCTCACAGCTTTATTTTCTCTTGGAGGTCGCGTGAGGGACTGTTGGATTCTAAAAAAGGGTCCCGAGACCTTGATCAAAACTACCATCAACCGATATTTTCGCTGGGCCTTGTGCGATACTGGCATACATACAAAGCCAGATTTAATCCCCGTACATGTGATTTACGCCCAAAAGAAAGGGGAAACCACACTTGATGCCGTTAAAAAGCTGAACCGGCGCCTACAAGTACTCGCCAGCCGACACCGCGAAGCGTTGAGTGTGGCAGCCCTAGACGGAGGTCATGGTTCGACTAATCTTCAGTCCAATGGGGAAGACGATGGCTATTCTGGTCCTTCTCCAATTAACCCACTTCTCGTTGGATTTATCATATGTGGTCCTATCATTGCAATCCTAACTCTCGGCACTGACTTTCTAAGCACAACTAAGGATACGGACAGCAGATACATCTGCCAGTTTGACTTGGAAGATGCAGGACACGATGTCTGGAACTCACTTGCGGTTGCTATTGCGGTCATGAAAATCCGGGAAACTATGATGCAACTCGCAGATAACGGCGTAGGTGGTTTTGTTAGGCTTCCTTTAGGCACAGAGTCAACACCGGATGTGGATATCTAAGGATATGCGACGACTATGGCTTTGTTCATCTAAGAACGGTTCGATTGGTGCTGAACTGGCTAAGACAATATTTACTTTTCTTTTTACATGTATATATGTAAGACGTTCTAAAACCGTTAACTGGTTACTGGAGGTTTTTCATAATCTTCAAGCGTAACCCATATTTTCCCCGTCAGATATATATCTCGTACGCCTATGTAATCTTAGGTTACAAACCACGCTTAATCTCCTCTAACATGTAGTTATACGTATAGATCATCATATATAGCCATATTTAAATTAAAGTATACCCTGACATACCCCCACTGTTTTTAGAAACTTCTATACGATGCAAGGTCGAAGGCCTCATACAGGTCACATGACCTGATACAATATTGACCGATTCCCCGCGGTTTAGAATGTTGACATTTGTCTCCAAAATCCTCAACGCCCCTGGCGCAATATCATCATGGATGCAGCAGAAGACAAGGAGGTCAAACTACAGCGCGCTGCTGGAGACTTGGTAACGGAATTCTCAGAGAAACTGCCCTCTCTGCTCTGGAAGCCACGAACGGAGAAAGGAGGTACCCGAGTTCCACGAAGATGGACACAGGCTGCTAAGACGGAGAGACTTGTAGGTCTTGTAAGTTGACGATATTCCCTCAATAAACTGCGAAAAGTCTGGAAATTTACTGAGCTGTCATCCACTAATACCAATTCTTGCTGCAGCTGGAGCCATTTCAAGAATGGCCTCAGCTGTTGGATCCACACCTTCAATCGCTGCTGCCACCTTTAGTCGATGCTTTCTTAGCATACTTGCTAAAGCACCCCAATCAGTATAAGGCAGATAAGCCATACCAGCAGCAGGCACTTTATCCCTTGCCAAGGGCGATCTGTAGACTTCTTTACACTTTTTGCAAAGTGCGTGGGGTCAAGGTTATTAGTAGGTTCTTGAACAATGAGCCGAAGTACCTTGACCCTTTACTCAGGGCTTTTATCGAATGGGATGCAGTATGCCAAGATAATTCAGAACTGGGCTTGTCAGGGGACATTCCCCGACGACTCGTTTGGGAGGAACGCTACGTGATGTTGATTTGGCTCTCGCACTTGTTGCTCGCTCCTTTCGACTTAGCGTCTATGTCATCAGACGATATCCCGGTGCCATACGAAAATTTGGGTCAACTTAGACCATTACCGGCAGGGGTCCCAACAGTCTCTAGGTCTCTTCTCTCAGTATCGTTGAACTATGTCAGTGCCTCTGGGAAGGAGCGTGAGGCTGCCACTGTCGTTCTGGCACGTCTTGTATTGCGACGGGACATGCAGGCTCTCGGCCTGCTCACTAATGTGACAGACTGGGCATTTTCCATCGTACAACCTGCAGGGAATTCCGAATTGCCCTCTGTCTATACTTGCATCGGTGTCCTTTCTTTCCTTGCACGCTTAGGTGCTTCAGGTCAGGTTGAGGACTTTGCTCCCTTGATCGTGCCTGTTTTCGAGAAGACGTTACGAACTGCTCATGGAAACTCAGAAATCTCCGAGATTATTCAATCTTCTGCGTTGGCGCGGAAAATTATCATTAAAATTCTACGCACAATGACAATTATGGCTCTGCAGCTTAGCGAAAGAGCGAATAGCCCGTTGTCGGACGATAAGGTATCCTCCATTTTGGAAGATACCATCGACCACTTTCTGGTGGCTTTAGCTGATAAAGATACGCCTGTACGATTTGCTGCGAGCAAAGCACTCAGTATAATTACTTTGAAGCTAGACCTGGATATGGGTGCCGAGGTTATAGAGGCTGTTACTGGTTCATTGGAGGAGAACATACTCTATGAAAACAGCGATGGCACCATAATAACACCGTTTGAAGCACGCAGGATTGGAATAGACAATACCAAAAGAAACCTGAGCGCGGTTGATGCTCAAAGATGGCAAGGTCTCATACTAACATTGGGTCATTTGCTATTTCGCCGTGCCCCTCCGACTGACCAACTTCTTAATATACTGCAACCGCTCGTTTCTGGACTCGACTTTGAGCAAAGATCCTCGACTGGAAGCTCTGTCGGCACTGGCGTGCGTGATGCTTCATGTTTCGGTATATGGGCTCTATCTCGCAAGTACACAACTCAGGAGCTGCTCGCATTGGATGCACAAACAATAAGTACTTCTACGAGCCAAAAGGAGTCAAGCATATTGCAGATGCTGGCTACCGAGTTGATATGTGCCGCCTGTGTGGACCCGTCGGGCAATATTCGGAGAGGTGCCTCTGCTGCTTTGCAGGAGTTAATTGGTCGTCATCCTAACAAAATCGTCGAAGGTATTTCGCTAGTACAGGTTGTGGATTATCATGCCGTGGCACGCCGTTCACGAGCGATGATCGATGTAGCAAAAGCTACGGCGGACTTAAGCCATCAATACTGGAGTCCTCTTGTTGAGTCATTGATGCACTGGAGAGGAATCAGTTCGCCAGATGCTGAGTCGAGAAGACAGGCAGCAAACGCAATAGGGGTCCTGAGTGCCCAGGAATCCTACAAGACGATGAAGATTGTCCTTCAGCGACTGTTCAAGAAGCTCTCCAGCCTCCCTCGAGGCGATGTTGAAACGAGACATGGGTGTTTCTTGGCCCTCTCAGCCACAGTAAACGCATTTAATTCCTACCAAGAAACACCACGAGAGAATAATGACCCTTCCGAGGCCTTGGAGGTTACCGCGCAAATACAAAAACTATGGGATATTTTCAATTCCCCGCTTGGCCCCACAAAAGAGGACTTGACGCTCCAAGTTCGACGTCCAGAATTGAGTGCTGAAGCATCATCACGCCTGGTATACTCTCTCTCTCGAGCGGCGTCTTTAGCAAAGGATTCACTTCCTTCTCAGCCAACAGTTAATTTGCTTGATAAAGCCCGGGAAACCCTCCTACTTTGCATTTCTCGAAGCGAAGATATTGTGATAGAAACTTCTTCAGATGCTATATCAGAGTTGTTCCCTCTTCTACCGTCACAGAAACAAGAGGAGACGATAAATGGCTGGTTTTCATATATCCATGCTACTTGGAAGCTACCGACTGGCCGTGGTCAGATCTCAGTTCTTGGTGCCATATTCAAGCAAGTTAGACCTGAAGATGACTTACGGCAATTAATCATAAAAGAACTGCTACAGTGTGCCGGAAAAGAAGAATTGATTGAGAAACGAGTAGTAGCTGTCAAGAGTTTGGCTAATGGTGTCCTGCCGCATATAGGTACGTGAAACCCAGCGCATGGGGAATGATGCTGACTATGTTGCAGATCCAACAAATGATATCACAGACCATCTTATTGAGTTTTTGAATGATTACACAACAGATAGACGAGGAGATATTGGGTCATTGATAAGACTGGAGGCAATCCAAGCTGCCACGGTAGTCCTCCAAAAAGAATCCGGTTCTGCAACTCGCACCCCCCGAGTCCAGAACATCATCGGCTGTTTATGTCGACTTGCAGCAGAGAAGTTAGACAAAGTCCGTCTTCAAGCCTGGCTTTGCTTGCAGGGCTTCTGGAAGTCAGCCGAAGATTTTCCACCTTTACAGAGGTGAGTGAATATCACACGCATATCTCAGATGTATTACTGACTATATCAGACAATATGAACATTTCAGTCACGTATCCCTGCCTGACTACTTCCTTCAGCTCTTTGAGTTGCAAGCCATCAACTGGCTGCGCTTGCCATTATTACAAGGAATTGCAACTTCTGCAGTTGCTGGGGCAGAGGGACTTGTTCGCTCAAGTCGCTTAGCACTTATGCAGAGTATCAATAAGTATGGGGATGAACAGCGGCAAGACATAGTGACCTCCATTATCAAAGATCTCATGGTTACACTGAGCGATAACCTGCAAGACGACCGTTACGCTATCCCGGTGCTGGAGTTTTTAGCCTTCCTGCTAGATAGCTATATTAGCTCCATCCCCCAATCTTCACAGCCAAGGTTAGTTCCTCTCTACCCACCGAGCTGAGATCACTGCTCACCGTCCATAGCTATAGGAAATTGTTTGTTCTTGTTCAGAAGGCACATTTCAAATCCTCTAACATAGCAAGATTGGAAGCCGCAATCAAAGTGTATGCGCCCTTGTCAAGGCTGGAGCAGCTACGAGCAGAAGTATTGAAAAAGATGACCTCAATGCTTCTGCATCCCTTTCCACGGGTTCGTCTGTTCGACTTAATTGAGAGAAATCATTGCATTAACTGGCATATAGGTTCGAAATGCAGTTGCAGAATACTTGTTTATGGAGACCACACTAGAGTCGGTGAAGACCGAAGACTGGACGAGACAGCCTAAGGAACTGAAGGGTCAGGTTGAGGAGGTTAGGAAGGAGTTGGCTTGTAAATAGAACGTTCGTCTCATAGACGATTCTCGACAATGGTGATACTCGGTATCGAAACAAAGTTAAAGAACATGAAGAATGACACTAGAAAACTAGGCAGACTTACGAACTTATTTTCATGAGAAAGCGATGCAAATAATGTAATAATATCTGATACGTTCAAAAGATAACAAAAAAAGAAAGTGCATCATCCGTGAATCGAACACGGGCCTCATCGATGGCAACGATGAATTCTACCACTAGACCAATGATGCTTCTATGAGAGAAGCGGCCATCTTTACAATAAATAATCCTAGATTCTAACCCCAAACCCGAATACTCCATCTTCAGAAGTTCCGCAACCCGTGCAATCGCAATTACAACACCAGCTCGACGAGCTCCCCAGTCGCAAACATGGCGTCAATGACCGCGGCTGCAAACAGCATCCCCCCCAACTCCACGTAAGTCCCAAGCTCATCTCTCCCATCAACCCCCTCGAACCACGAGAAATACTAACCCAGCAACCACAGAGTCTATGTACGATCCCACCCATCACAATCTCCACCTAATACCTAATGACAGCCCACTAACACGCAGCTTCTAACCAGGTCCGCAACCTTGAAGAACGAGTTAAAGTCGACCAGCTCAAGGAAGCGCTTCAGGAACTCTTCTCGGAATATGGCA